GTCAAATGCTCTAAGGCTCTCTTGACAATGACGTGCCACGGAAACCAGGACTTTTTCAACAGATTGATCACACAGCGGGAAAGCTGGGTCCATCGTTCTGATCCTGAGACTCAAGTCCAGTCGATGCAGTGGAAGCATCCTGACTCACCGTCTCCAAAGGTGGCATGTGCCCAACTCTTGGCTGGCAAGGTCATGCTCACAGGATTATGGGACCAGCACGGAGAAGTATGGAGGGATTTCCTATCAAAGGGAACCAGGATCACTGGGGCTGACTGGGCTTCACTGCTGCGGACATTGTGGGAGGTCATCAAAACCAAGAGACAATGTGGCATGCTCCCCAAAGGGGCCCACCTTCTGCAAGACGATGCACCAGTTCACTCCTCACCTGTTGCCCAAATGGAAGAAGCATGCTCCAGTGGCTTTGGAAGTCAACCACATCCTTTCTGTACCCGACCCCACACCATTGGATTTCCACCTCTTTCCAACAATGATTTTGGAAGGGCAAGCGTTTTTCAGTTGACGAGATTGTGATTTCTGAAGACACAAGGTAGCTTTTGGAGCAACCTGTCACTCCTACAAGCAAGGTGTTTACTGTTGCTTAAAAAGATGGGAGGAGTGTGTGTCCCTAGGTGGCACCAATGGAGAGAAGGACTCAGAACTGGACCAAGTTTCATTGCTCTCAGTCCACAGGAAGGGGGTCAGGGGAAATCTTTAGTAAACACCCCTCGTATGTACATTGGTTTGTAACCCCAAAGCTGGCCCACAGACCATTCACGATCAAACTTTTTAAAAAATGGAGTTTGAACTTAAGCTGATGGAAAGAAACCAAGCTGATTGGCTGTGGGTGGGTGAAGTGGCCCTCTATGATGTCACTAGGAAAGAGAGTGAAGTGGCAGCTGCTAGGTAATGTGTGAGAGAAAGGAAGGAGAAAAAGGAAAGGAAAGGAAGGGGGAGAAAGAAAAAGGAGGGAAGGAAGCGAAAGGAAGGGATGAAGGGAAGAGGAAAGAGAAAGGGGGAAGGAAGAGGAAAGAAAGAGGAGGAAAGGAGGGGGAGTAAAAATAGAAGGAAGAGAAATGAAGGAAGAGGAAAGAGAAAGGGAGAAGGAAGAAAGAAGGGAAAATAAAAAAGAAGGGGTGAAGGAATAGAGGGAAAGAGAAGGGAGAAGGAAAGAAAGGGGAGAAAGAAAAATAGGGGAAAGAAGGGATGAAAGGGAAGAGGAAGGAAAAGGGAGAAGAGGGAAGAAAGATGGAAGAGAAGGGGGAGAAGGGATGAAGGAAGAGAGGGCAGAGAGAAGGAAGGAAGGGGAAAAGGGAGAAGAGGGAAGAGAAATGAAGGGATGGAAGAAGGGACGAAGGAAAAGAGGAAACAAAGGAAAAGGAGAAGAGAATGGGAAGGGAAAAGAGATGAAGGAAAAGAGGGAAGAGGAGGGAAAACGAAGGAAGGGGGAGAAAGAAAAAGGAGGGAAGGAATAGAAGATAGGAAAGAAATGAAGGAAAAGAGGAATAAGAAAGGGGAGGGGAGGAAGGAAGAGAAGGGAGAGAAATGAAGAGGGGGAAAGGAATGAAGGGAGGAAAGAGAAAGGAGAAGGAAGGAAAGGGGAGAAGAAAAAGGAGGGAAGGAAGAAAAACTAAGTAAAGAAAGAGATGAAGAAAGGGGAGAAGGAAGTCATTTTAAAAAATTGTACAAATGCACCAGATTTGGATGAACTACAACTCACATCATGCCAGATTAAGCATGAAAAACTTAAATCAGTACTTCAAGTTTGTTATGTTGGGCAAGTTTGCTCTAGATGCATCATCAGTGGGGTTCAGTATTCTCTCTGGCTGTAGGGTAAACTACAACTCCCACTATGGTGAGTCACACTCCTTAAACCCCTCCAGTACATTCACTTGGTCATGGGTGTTGTGTGCCACGTGTGACTCAAGTCCATCATCTATGAAGGTCACAGTTTCTATGGTTGTGGATGAACTACAACTCCCAGAAAGGAAAGTTAGCCCCCACCCCAATCCCCTCCAGTAATCAATTTTCTGCATATCAGGAACGTGTGCCTAGTTTGGTCCAGATCCATTGGTGTTTAGGCTCACAGTGCTCTCTGCATGTAGGTGAACTACAACTCCCCCAAATCAAGGTGAATTTCCCCCAAAGACCTCCAGTATTTTTTTGCTGGTCATGGGGGCCGTGTGTGCCAAATTTGGTCCAATTCCATCTTTGATGGAGTTCAAAGTGCTCTTAGATTACAGGTGAACTATACATCCCAGTACCTATAACTCCTAGAAATCATGAATTCTCCCCAAACCTCTCTAGTATGCTCTGTTGCAGATCAATTCCTGTTTCCTATGTGCCATAGAAAAGAACAGGAAAGGGTGAAGGGAGAGGCAGTGGGCAGGGTCATGCAAATTCCACACCAATGGAGAGAGTAAGAAATACTGGGATGTCTGTGGTAAGAGGAAAAACAGAAAATCAAGGATGAAATTGTTCCCGTATGAAAGCATTCACTTCGGTGGTGGACAGAATGGTGTTTGTGGAGGACGCTGGCAGGGCTCTTGGACATGTTCATGGCGCTCTTTATAATCTGCGATGTCACTGGAGGGAGGGCCATTGGTGTCTCCTGAGGAGTGGGAGCTATAGCTATTTGTGGAAGTGGGGCCCCGTCTGTGTAAGTGGACACTCGAGCCACACACATACATATGTATTTTCAATATATTGAGCACCCTTGTGCTGGCTGGACTGCTGACCTAAAGGGTCAGTGGTTTGAACCCTAACAGTGGGGCGAGCTCCTGTCTGCCAGCTCCAGCTTCCCATGTGGGGAGATGAGCGAAGTCTCCCATAGCATGGTAAAATATCTGGGTGTCCCCTGGGCAATGTCCTTGCAGACGGGCAATTCTCTCACACCAGAAGCAACTTGCAGTTTTTCAAGTAGTTCCTGACACGAATATATATATATAATCATGTAATTAATTTGTTGTTCTTGTTGTTATTATTATTGCAGAGGTAAGTGCAAAATGTCACATGTGGTGGCAGCGGAGAGATATATGCGCACCCACAATCAATCCAAACCCTTTGGATATATGGGAAGGAAAGGGAACATAAAATGGGAGGCAGCTAGAGTCGCGCAAGGAGTCAAGCAAAACAAAACAGAACAAGAGGCAACAATAATAAAAGGGAGGAGAAAAAAAAAGCAGGAGCAAAGAATACAGAAGACATTTATTGAAAGGCAAAATAAAAAGAAGTACAGACCGGCCACTGACTGCCGTTTACTACAAACTTAAAACAAGCCAATTGCTAAAAGGCTATGGAAAAAGATACTACAGTCTGTTATAAAATAGTTTTAATTTCAAATATCTTTTTTTGTAATACATGTTGTTTTTTTTGTCTTTTCAGCCAGGCAATGGGAAATCTGCTGTTGCGCATGGCCCGCCCCTTCCACAATACTGAACCTGGCAATCGCTGGTTATCAAAATATACATCTGTTTCGCCGTAAAAATGCATGCGGGCGGGCAGCGCCCTTCTCATGTCTTACAACAGGTATAAAAAAGTATAAATATTTACACCTTTTTCTTCTTCTCGTTACTTACATTTACATGCCAAAAAAGAGAGGAAAACACAGGATCCAAAAGAAAGGGGGGGGGGGACTCCACTCCAGACACTGCCACAGAGTGACCCCACTGTCAAAATAGCAAAATATTAAACTTAAGACCATTCTAAGGTGGATTGCATTAGGACTGGAATGTGCGGCGACCCAGGAGGGACTCAGCTTGGTTTCACTTTGTCCCGCAAAATGTGAAGAGGGCTCCTGGAAGCCCCTTCCCATCCTCCTCGTACCCCTTCTGCCATTATTTTGGGAACAGTTAGGGCATATATTCGTGGAGAATGGTGATAAGATGGTGATAACAATGGCAACAAATGAGGAGGCTCCGTCTGCGGTATAAGCGACTCGGCCACCCAAACCGACAACACTTCATCATTCAAGCGGTCCACACACTCCTCCAGCATAGACTGCATCCCCCCTGTTGAAAACAAGGGATGACTTTCCCCAAATGGAGTCTAAGACTTCAAAGAGAAAAAAAAAAGAGAATAACCTCAAGTGACAAAAGCGAGCCAACGGCTCCTGCGGAACAACAACAACAACAACCAGGAGCAACTTGAGACAACACCACATACACTGAGAAAAATAAATCAAAAACAAACAACAGCTTTGGTCCACAATTTGAAAAAAAAAAACCCTGATATGAACTACAACATTCTGGTTTTTATCTTTATACGAATGGAAAGATAGAGGGAAACAAACCGGTAAGGCAACATCGGAATATACAAACAGGGTTGAAATGGGAAAGTTGAAAGGCCTCGATGGAATGGTGATTTAGGCACCGATTGGGGAGGGAAAAGGTAAACGAAGGTATCTTTAAATAATGCAGAGAGCCTGGATTATTCAAAGATGACGCCCCTCCCCTTTATTTTTTAAGTCAGATCCCTTTCGTTTGAAGCAAAGCACTTTACATTTAAATGCTCCTCTCGATAAAAACTAAAAGGGCTGTTTTCGCCAGCTTACAAATTACTAAAGTACAGGGATACAAAAGTAATAGAAGACTAAAGTTTTGATATATTTATACTGTCTTATCTATGACAAACATTAACGCTATCGCCTTCTGCATATATATATATATATATATATATATATATATATATATATATATATAAAAATACCTTGATGAACCCCATTAGGATATTTGGTCAACTGGGAATACAGCTAAGGCAGAGGACAGACCAAACAAATAAAAGAAGAAAGGACTAATTTTTTTAAAAAGGGGAGGATTATAATCAGGATTTGAAGGCTGCTATAGTTAGAGATGCTGGTTTCAGTGACGGAGGTAACCAAGGCACCTTAAGGCTCAAAATGGGTAGTTTCCAATCCGCTTGGGTTGGATGGTACTTACATTCGGGCCTCCATTTGCACCGTGTTTGCAAAAAGGCTGACGGCAAAATGTTTTAAACCTGTGTCATTTCTGATCAAGTATTTTCACCCTGCAGGGAAGCTAAGCTTAGGCCACAATGGGGGCAACGTTAAGCGCCGGAAATGGAGGAGACAAAAAAGCCGCTTGTCTCCCCTTTCCTTCACTGCATGTGATTCATAACGTCCCACAGCCCTTTTGTAACTTTCCTAACAATCCAAATGAGGAATTTTAATTTCTCTAAGGCACCATGAGGTTAGTTGGGCGCATAGGCTGAGGAAAAGAAGGCCTTTCCTCATCTGCCCCCCCTCCCGCAAAAGGCTGAGCGGCATTTAGAGAAAATTCAGAGCTGATGCTAACAACGCATCAGACAACTTAAGACTGGGGAGCTTCCAAGGCCGAAAGCTAACCTTGTGAAGGCAATACTACGCTCTAGAGTGGGTGCCATCTTTGTGTCTCGGCTCCCCAACAAGAACGTTAACTTTTTCTCCAGCGTAATGGATTTCATTTGATTTCTTTTCCCTTGGTCAAAGGATTCTGACACATCAACATTGGATTTTGAAAAAAAGGCCTAGTAAACTGCACTTTTCTTTAGAAAAATAAAACATCTGTTGTCTTTTTAAGGTCACTTCTGCTGCATTCGTTTTCTCTCCCTTGTGCTGTTTTGTTTTGTAAAGTGGCTTCCCCTCCCCTCCCCTGGAATGATAGAAGTTGGTCTCGCCCGCATCAGTGGGCTAGCCCCTTTAAAAACAAAAATAATAAAAAAATCAAGAAGCCGGACCCTTGAAGAAGGGCGGCAACGGCGGCAGTTGACAATTGCGATTCGTTGTTTTATCAGTCACGTTGCTGCCATCGCCATATTGTTGCTTTCTTTTTAAAAGGCGCTTAAATGGTAGATTTTGAAAAGGAGACACGCAAGTGGTGGCTCTCGCCGAGGTCATGGTTGTGGAGGTCAATGAGGGACTGGATGGCTTCCTCGACAGAGCCCATCTGGATCAGCGCCATCTTGCGATCTCTCCTGTTGGGGGACAGCAAGAAGGATGAGAGAGTTAGGGGATCAGGGCCTCTGACATTTGCTCTGAATGCATGGCCAGAGGGAAAGGGGGGGGGATCTCTTTGCTGGGTGATTTCAGAACAGGGAAAAAAGGGGCAACAGCAGCCCTTTCAGCAGATCAGAAGCTGCTGAGCACAGAAGCAGAGCCAATGAACTCCAGCAATTACAGGAGAAGAGTCAAACTTAAAACATTACAAAAGACTTTACTGAAAGAACTACATTTCTGTGTTGTCAAAGGCTTTCATAGCCAAAACCACTGGGTTGCTGTGAGTTTTCTGGGCTGTCTGGTCATGTTACAGAAGCATTCTCTCCTGATGTTCCACCCACATCTATGGCAGGCATCCTCAGAGCTTGGGAGGTCTGTTGGAAACTTGGCAAGTGGGGTTTATATATCTGTGGAACGATGTCCAGGGTGGGAGAAAGAACTCTTGTCTGCTTGAGGCCAGTGTGAATGTTGCAATTGGCCACCTTGATTAGCATTTAATGGCTTTGCAGCTTCACAGCTGGCTGCTTCCTGCCTGGGGGAATCCTTTGTTGGGAGGTGTTAGTTGGCCTTGATTGTTTCCTGTCTGGAATTCCTTTTTTTTTTTTTTTAAGTGTTGCTTTTTATTTACTGTCCTGATATTCAATCTTTTGGATAGTGGGAACCAGATTTTGTTTCTTTTCATGGTTTCCTCATTTCTTTTGAAATTGTCCATGTGCTTCTTCTGGATGTCAATGGCTTCACTGTGTAGTGTGACATGGTGGTTGTTAAGAGTGGCCCAGCATTTCTGTGTTCTCAAATAATATGCTGTGTCCAGGCTGGTTCATCAAGTGCTCCGCTATGGCTGACTTCTCTGGTTGAGTTAATCTGCAGTGCTTTTCATGTTCCTTGATTCGTGCCTGGGCAATGCTGCTGCATTTGGTGGTCCCTATGGAGACTTGTCCACAGCTGCATGGTATACGGGAGACTCCTGCAGAGCTGAGAGGATCCGCCTTGTCCTTTGCTGAACAGAGCATGTATTGGATTTTCTTAGTGGATCTGTAGATACTTTGTAGGTTGTGTTTCTTCATCAGCTTCGGTCAGTGGTTCCCTTGATATATGGCAAAAACCCTTTTCCTCTGGGTGGACCTTTGTCTTGACTCTTGTGGCTTGTTCTTGGTCTTGCTGTTCTTCTGTTGTCTGTGGTGGAGTCTCCATTGGCCTGTATAGCCCAGTTCAGGTGGTTCAGTTCACCTTGTAGGTTGGCCTACACACTATCAACAGACCCAATAAGAAAATCCAACAAATGCTCTGTTCAGAAAAGGACAAGAGAGATCCTCTCACCTCTGCAGGAGTCTACCGTATACCATGCAACCGTGTACAAGTCTACAGAGGGTCCCCAAAACGCAGCAGCAATGCCCAGACATGAATCAAAGAACAGAAAAGGCACTGCAGATTGATTCAACCAGAGAAGTCAGCCATAGCAGAGCACCTGAAGAACCAGCATGGACACAGCACAGTATGCGAGAACACAGAAATGCTGCACCACTTTCACAACCACCATGTCAAGACTACACAGAGAAGCCACTGAAACCCACAAGCATGTGAACAATTTCAACAGAAAGGAAGAAACCATGGAAATGAACGTAATCTGGATACCAGTATTAAAAATTCTAAAATCAAGACAGAAAATAAAGAAGACTTGAAAAACAGGGGAAATCCAGACAGGAAACAATCAGGGCGAGTTAACATCTCCCAACAAAAGATCCCCCCAGGCAGGAAGCAGCCAAGCTTTGAAGTCGCAAGGCCATTCAATGCTAATTAAGGTGGCCAATTGCAGCATTCACACTTGCCTCAAGATGAAAAGAGTTTTTTCACCCACCCTGGACATCATTCCACAGATATATAACCCCACTTGCCAAGTTTCCAACAGACCTCACAAGCTCTGAGAATGCCCGCCATAGTTGCAAGCGAAATGTCAGGAGAGAATGCTCCTGGAACATGGCCAGACACCCCAGAAATCTCACAGAAACCCAACTACATTTTTATATAGGAAAGTCAGGACCTCTTCCTCTGGAAACATCTTGAGATTGGCAAGGCCAAACTAAAGGCAGCAAGGAAGAAAGGAACATGACCTCACCCGGAATCACTACTCTGCTCCCAACTGAAGGAAAGAACTGGACTTACTGGAAAAATTTGAAGCCTTTCACAATGCCTCCGTTGCTTGAGAACAGCAGCTTGATGTCCTCTTCAATGATTGAAGGCCTAGAGGGAGGAAAAGGGAACAGAGGCTCAAGAGTCTTCAAGGCATACTTGCCCAATGGGTTGCTTCCTCCTCCTTTGGTTTTTAACTATGAATTTTAAAGGAAATAGGAAATCTCCTACAAAACAGGAGCTTTTTTGTTGAGTTCCAAGAGCCAGAGAAGCAGACGGTGAAAACAGAAGAACAGCCTGCCTCAGGGGAGCATGCTTGCTTCATCAATGTTCAATATTTACACAAATGACCAGCCACAGCCAGAAGGGACAGTTTCATCTATGCCGATGACTGTGCCATCACCGCTCAAGCAGGGAACTTTGAAATGGTTGAACAGAAGCTCTCTGAAACTTTAGGTGCTCTTACTGTCTATTACCAGGAAAACCAGCTGATTCTGAGTCCATCTAAAACACAGACATGTACTTTTCACCTTAAGAACAGACAAGCATCTAGAGCTCCGAGGATGACCTGGGAAGGAATCCCACTGGAGAATTGCCTGGAAGTCACTATGGACCGTGCTCTGACTTACAAGAAGCACTGCTTGAATATCAAGCAAAAAGTAGGTGATAGAAATAATATCATACAAATGTTATTTCTAGCACAACCTGGGGATCACAACTAGACACAGTGAAGACACCTGCCCTTGCGCTTGGCTACTCTGCTGCTAAATACGCATGCCCAGTGTAGAATACATCTCACTACGTTAAAACAGTGGATGTGGCTCTTAATGAGACAGCACTGCTTGAATATCAAGGAAAAAGTGTGTGAGACACAATACTATATGAAAACTGACAGGCACAACCTGGGGATCACAACCAGGCACAGTGAAGACATCTGCCCTTGCGCTTTGCTACTCTGCTGCTGAATACGCATGCCCAGTGGGGAATACATCTTACCACGTTAAAATAGCGGATGTGGCTCTTTTTTAAGAAAAATATTTTTATTGAAATTTGTGGCTCTTAATGAGACATGCTGTATTATCACAGGATGTGTATGTCCCAAACCGCTGGAGAAATTATACTGTTTAGCTGGTCCTTCACCACCTGACACCCACCAGGAAGTAACTGCAGCCAATAATGAAAAAACCAAGGCAGTGACATCTCCAGCCCATCCTCTGTTCGGATATCAGCAGCACACCAATGCCTTAAATCAAGAAATAGCTTCCTAAAATCTACAAAGATACTCTCAGGAACACCTCAGCAAGCGAGAGTCCAATAGTGGCAGGTTAAGACCTGGAACCTCAATCCATCGCTGATACCAAATAAGAAACTCCCTCCTGGGCACACAAAAGACTGTGCGACTTGGAAGGTGCTGAACAGGCTGTGCTCTAGCACCATGAGATGCAGACCCAACCTTAAGAAATGGGGCCACAAAGTGGAGTCCATGACAAGCAAGTGCAGAGAAGAGCAAACCACAGACTACTTACTACAATGCAACCTGAACCCTGCCACGTGCACAATGGAGGACCTTCTCACAGCAATACCAGAGGTACTCCAAGTGGACAACTACTGGTCAAAGAACAGATAGTATAATGCCAAGTTTTAAACTTTGTGTTTTTAAATACATTACAACTGTACTCTCAATTCGCTTCTGACACGATACATAAATCCATTGTAAAATGCCATCCATTATAATGTGCACCCTAATTTCTGTACTACTGATGCCAACAAAAATACGTAAGACACACCCACAATTCTAAGATGCAGCCCATTTTTTGAGATGTTTATATAGAGGGGGAAAGAATGTCTTAGAATGGAAGAAATATAGTATCAGAGTCAGCAAATCATTCAAAAGGAGACAGAAAAGTGCTCTGCAGGGTATTAATTATTATAGTTTTAATTGGTTTTTATATGACTTTTAATATATATTAAATTTTTTTAATTGATATGTATGCATGTATTTTTATGGCATCTAATTGTTGCCAATCTGTATGCCGCCCTGAGTCGCCTTCGGACTGAAAAGAGCAGGATAAAAATGCTGTAAATAAAATCAATTAAATAAATAAACAAATAAATAAATAAATAATGTTCATCCCTCAAGTTTCAGGCAGGGAAGGGTATTTGCTGGCTTTGCTCAGAGACTCCAATGGGGCTGCAATTCTCTTCTTCCCTAGAGGAACCCATTTGGACCACTTACGGGATGTTGGAGAGATGAAGAGTGGCCGATGGAGGGAAAATGTTCTGGAAGTTCTTAGAACCGGGCTTCTTGAAGCGGTGGAGGGGGGAGTTGCCATAATCCTTGGTCAGGCCCTGGTCCTCCTGCCCTTCACGGGGCAGCTGCACAGTCTGGTGCTTGGAGAGCGTGATCCGGATGGGCTTCCCATGCAGTTTGTGGCCATTGAGGTGGCTCATGGCTGTCAGGAATGAGAGAACGATGCAGGCATTTTACGTCACGGAGGCAGCACCGGCCTTCAGGGCACAAATACGACAACATCCTATCTTTGGGAAATGTATTGGATGGTCTTTGGGATCTCTTCTGACTCTAAGATTCTATGATCCATCCATCTTGGGGAACTGGATGGCCTTTGGGGTTCCTTTGACTCTAGGATACGATGATTCAATCATTCATCCATCCATCTTAGGGAATTGGGTGGCCTTTGGGGTCCCTCTGACTAGGATTCTATTATCTATCTATCTATCTTTGGAAATTGGACTGGATGGCCACTGGAGTCACATTAGACTTTTGAGATTTGATCATCTATCCATCCATCTTTATGAATTAGATATCCTTTGGGATCCCCTCTGACTACAGGATTCTATCATCTATCCATGAGTCAATCATCCATCCATCTATTTTTGGGAATTGGATGGCCTTTGGAGTTCCTTCCAACTAGGATTCTATCATCTGTCCATCCATCTTTGGGAACTGGATAGCCTTTGGTGTCCCTTCTAACTCTAGGATTCTACGATTCAATCATCCACCTATCTTTAGGAATTGAATGGCCTTTGGGGCCCCTTCCAACTCCAGGATTCTACCATCTATCTTTGCGAATTGGACAGGATGGCCACTGGGATCCCTTCCTACTCTAGGATTCCATGATTCTATCATACATCCATCTGTCTTTATGAATGGGACATCCTTTGGTGTTCCTTCCCACTCTAGGATTCCATGATTCTATCATCCATCCACCTATCTTAAGGAACTGGATGGCTTTTGGAGGCCCTTCCGACTCTTTAAGATTAGCCTTCCCAGACTGTTCTCAGATGGCAGGCCTCACAGGGAAGGAAAGCCCATATGCTCACCCAATTGGGCTTGGTTGCCATCTGCCATCTGAACCAAGGCGTTCTCCTTCTTGTTGAACAAGATCTTCACTCTCTGGACATCACCATAGACCCCTTGAGGGGAAAAAAAGGGGGTGGGGACAAAGACATGTCTTCAAGGGGGGAAAACCTGCCATTTCTTGCCCCCCTCCCAAATTCACCAGATTGCCTTCAATTGGGTTGTATCCCAAGGGCGAATCAGAACACTAAAAAAACCCAACTAAAAAATAACAAAGTCAGCAGACCTGATGGGATCCTTGCTGAAAATTTGAAACTGGACCAGCGGTGAAGTTGAGAGGGGCAATTCTCTGGAGCAAAATGCCAACCGCTGTCAGCAGAGACAAGGTAAACCAATGCCTCACTTCCCCTTATGCTATTTCAATGTGGCTGACCCCAAGGGGCATGCAAAGCAACCCAAAACCATGCACAAGAAATAAAAACTTGCATTTGGGTAACTAAAGCATTCAGCCCAACCACCCCTCTTCCCCACGCCAACACCGTCTTTCCCTCCCCCCCCAAAAGTAATGAAACAAACCAAATAAAATAAAGTAATAAAAAAGTGTGAATAACATACCGAAAAGAATAAAGAGGCATTGGGGCGTAACTCTCTTTAGAGAACAGCAGAGCAAGGCAGCGGAGGGACAGGGAAGAGGTAAGGAATCGGAGGGGAGAGCGAAGGTTGCGCAAATCGTCGCCAACGAAGGAAAGGTAGAGTAGTCCCCGCAGGAAATGGCGAAATTGGTTGATGGATGATGAAGTTTTCAAGATGGTTAATATTGGAGGGCAAGTTGGTTTCCGAAGAGCAGGAAGGTTTGGTGTTTTGTTTTTGTTTTTGAGAGGGGTGTATTTTTTTTGTTTGGTTTGGTAAATAAAATAAAAAAATTGTTTCAAGCAACAACAGGAAGCAGAAGAACCGTGCAGTCAGTTGGCAAAGAAATTCCGGATCGGGGAGAAAGGGAAGGAAGGGAAACAAAATAATAAAATATCAAGGGAAGGGGGTGGGAGAGAGAGGGGGGGGAAAAGGAAAAAAAGTAGCAAAAACACAGGTCAGTAAATACATAAAAGAAATATGTAGTGTTCCATCAGTAAAAGATGTATAGATTTCTAAAAACGCACAACACTTTCGTTTACAGAAGGGAAAAAAACTAGTTAATAGGTGGGTTTGTTTGCAACCTAGTGGAACACAACAATAAAAGAAGAGTACTTTACTTCAAGTAAGGTTTATCTAAGAAAAGGAGGCAGCACTACAACAGAGGGGCTTCGGAGCAAATTTTGACCCTTTGTTTTGCTGTCAAGAGAATGGCGGTGGGGGTCTTCCACTTTGGAGTCCTTCAAATTGAGGTCAGACAGGCGTCCTTCGGGAGTGCTTTTGTGGTGGGCTCCTTTATGGTGGAGTGGCCTCTGGGATCCCTTCCAATTATAGGATTTTAAGCTGGATGGATATCTCTCTGGACTGCTTTGGTTATGTGTCTTCCTGTTTAGCAAAAAGACATGGGAGCATTTGGCATCCCTTCTGTGACTTAACGGCTCAGAGACATCCATGAAAAAAGGTTACTTCGGCCTTTATTATCTCTATATTTCAATTATATTGTACCCTGCCTCAAGCCTTGACAAGAGGCAGGTACAAAATAAAATATTTACTATTCTTATCTATTTATCTATCTAAGGTGTGTATGTGTATGTGCGCGCTATAAGCAGCTCCGAGTCCCTTTGGGGAGAGGGGGCAGGATAAAAATAAAGCTTATTATTATTGCATATCATAGTTTGTCTCTCGTGTTTGTATATCAGACTGTACCACTGTTAGGCGACAATCCCGTAGCCCTTCCAGATGTCACTGGACTGGCTGTGGTTAGGTGAAGTGGCCCTCCACAATGTCCCTGGGAAAGAAATGAGGGGGGGGGGGAGGGAGGAAAGAGGGCCATGTTGCCATGAAGACATTTTGAGGCAGGCTCTTTCAGAGCAGGAGAAAGGAGAGAAGAAAAGGAAAAGGAAGGGGGGGGGGAAGAGAGAAGAAGGAAAGGGAAAGGGTATGAGGGGAGGGAAAGAAAAAGAGAGAAGGGTAAGAAAAGGAAGAAAGAAAATGGAGAGAAGGAAGAGAAAGGTAAAGAAGAAAGGAGGGAGGGAAGAAAAAAGAAGGAAGAGAAAGGACAAGTATGGAGAAGAGAAAGAGAGAAGGGAAGAGAAAGAAAAGGAAGAAAGGGAAGAGAAAGGAAGGGAGAAAGAAAAAGGAAAAGTATGGGGGAGGGAAAGAAAAAGAGAGAAGGGAAAGGAAAGAAAGGAAGCAAGCAAACAAGAAAGAAAGAAAGAAAAATGAGAGAAGAAAAAGAAAGCAAAAGTATGAAGAAGGGAGAGAGAAAGAGTAGGGAAAGAAACAAAGAGAAGGAAAGAAGGAAGAGAAAGGAAAGCTATGAGGGAAGGGAAAGGGAAAGAGAGAAGGAAAGGGAAAGGGGAAGGAAGGAAGGAAGGAAGGAAGGAAGGAAAAGGAGACAAGGAAGAGAAAGGAAAAGAGAGAACGAAAGAGAAAGGAAGAAGGACAAAGGAGTGAAAGAAGGAAGAGAAAAAGTTATAAGGGAAGGGAAAGTGAAAGAGAGAAACAAGGAAGAGAAAGGAAAAGTATGAGGGAAGAGAAGGGAAAAGAGGGAGAGATGGAAGAAAAAGAGGGGAGGAAGGAAGAGAGCGGAAAAGGAAAAAGATGTAAGAGGAGGGAAAGAGAAAGAACGGATTAAAGGAGAAGGGCAGTAGTCCCTCCAACATCCACGCAATGCTGGGTATATATGCTAGTTATTACTATCAATGGCCCTTGAGGAAGGAAGTGGTGCAATACAAATACACCAGTAATGTGGCTCAGCGAGGCTTATGTGCTCCCTGGTCTTTTGAGACCCCCGATCAAGGTGGAAAAAGCTGTTTGGAAAGACATTAGAGTACCTGTAACTCCCCAGGGTGAAAACCCCAAGCACCAGCTCCCCTCCCCTCCTACTATGGGGCTGAGGGATCGAGCAATTGAGAGGCAAGGACCAGAGATCCTCTGCCTTCGAAACCCAGGTTTCCAATTTGGATGGGAAGAGCCGAGGCCCCTCTGATGAACGCTGCCTCTTGCACAGCTCTATGCACAGATTAAAAAGTCTCTACAACACTGATTATATACAAGCAATGGTGGGGAAGCGGGAAAAAAATCACAAGGAGTCAGAGTGGTTAGTTCAGTTTCACTACAGGTATCACAGTGGTTTCGGCCCTAAGGAGGAAGCCGGATGGATGAGCCAAAGGAAAGAAGAGAGGAAACATCCCCACACAAACACACCAAGAGGGCATGACGTAGCGGCTGCGGAGCAAGACTCGTACGGGACGGCACACCGCAAAAGGCTGGCGCACACTCACCAATACACTTGGATGTCTCCTGATTCTTCTAGGAGGAAATGCTGGCAGGGGGATTTGGGTGGCAAGGGGCTTACTTAGGAAGGCCATTTTCCCATCCTGCAAGTAATAAATATGTCTCCAAATAGATTTAATGCCTGAGAGTGATTTGGGAGAGTTATGGGAAGCAAACCGTTGCAATTCGGGACCCATTTTGAAGCAAAATAGCACCTAAACAATGTACTAGAGTTTCCAGAACCGGACTGGACAGTCTCTGTTCCTCCCCAAATGGATTTTCTCCATAGAGTAGAAGGAGAAGTATCTCCCCATGGAAAAAGAGAAAGGCATCCATGATCAATGACTGACAGTTTTTCTTGCAGGAAATCCCTTTTGTTATCAACTTGGGAAGACTTTGGATGGTATTTGCCTCCAACTAAGAGTGGGTGAGTATTGCAGGCAAAACGTCATGCCCCAAAAGACTGAAGTGGACAGAAAAGAAGGACAGAGAAACAGATGAAAACAGGGTTAATTTCCTATTCGGTTTCCTCATCCATGCCTCTGCTTTCAAGATTTCAGGCCACTACAAAGCAGGACTGCCACTTCTGCACACTTTTTTCGAGCGTCAGTCTCTAAACAATGTTGGTAAAAGACCCAAACGCTGTGCCTCCGCAAAAAACAAAAAAACAAAAAAAAAATTCCAAATACAACTGAATGGACACCCTAAAAGGACACAGATTTTTAATTTCCCCCCATATGTGCCTTCAGCCTGCCGTAATGCCATCCAAACATTTCAAACTTTTTGGGGGGAGAGGAAAGGGGTAAAATCGTTGGGAGATATTGCAAATAAATAAGTAAATAAATAAAAAGATCGGAGTTAAAATGCAACAGCTTCAGAGAGGTAAAGGTGGATGTACTGATACATAAGCAAAAGGAAATATATACTTGCAAAAGGCAGGGGATATGAAGCTAAGCTGGCAGGAGGATGTTTTGGGGGAGAGGAATGGAGACACCAATGAAAAAAGAGAGGATCCATATTGTCTCCCCAAATGATGCATTTTGAGGTTGCAGCATATGGGAAAAAAAGGTTGACCCAAGTAGAGACTAAACCAGGCATGGGCAAACTTCGACCATCCAGGTATTTTGGACTTTCCAACTCCCACATTTCCTAAGTCCAAAACACCTGGAGAGAGTTTGCCCATGCCTGGGCTAAACTGTTGTGAGGAGGGGGATTCTTCATAAAGACATTTTGGGATCTCATTTGGAGTTGCTGATTTGCAGGCTTTGTCAACCTGCGGCCCTCCAGGTGTCTTGGACTCCAGCGTCCAGAATTCCTGACTTTCAGCTAGGACTTCTGGGAACTGGGAGTCCCAAACACTTGGGAGGGTTGAAGAGGTCTGTTTGAAGTTATCCGCCTCCCAGTTGGGTTTTAGGCTGCTGCTGGACTCTCTCTTCTTGGGCATTCCCCTTTCGGAGTGATTGAACGAGAGAGAGAGAGAAAGAAAAGGGAGGAGAGCTCAGCAGCACAGTGAAAAGGATTCCTGAGAAGCGATTGGCAGAACAGTGAGATGGGAAAGTAAACTGGAAGGTAAGCAAAAGAATAATAGTAATAATAATATAATGATAATGATAATAATAATAATAATAATAATAATAATAATAATAATAATAATAATAGACTGTGAGTTAGAATATACTGGAGAGAAGAGATGGCAACAAGGGGTCCACTAACCTCCGAGTTCAGATTGCTAACCAGCAGGACAGAGTTCCCTGTCCCGGAGAGGCCGGGAAGGGCAATCCGTCCTGCGGCAGCTGCGGCAGCGGCTGCGGACGGGATGGCCAAAGGAGCCAGCGCCCCGTGGACATTGGGGACTGAGAGGCCTGGAAGAATTACAAGAGCGTGAGCCGACAAAGCGATCCCCTGACACCGTTTCCCCTCGTTGCACTCCGAACACACGCTCCCAAAAGTGGCTGAAGCCTCTCCAGTCCGGGATAATGAGGTGCGTTTGGCTCTCCTTGGGCACCAGTGAGCCCTTTTGACAACAATCCCTTCACACATCATACACATACACACACACACAAACAATAAAAGTGAAAATATGTATGTATGTGTGTGGCTGCGGTGTCCACTTACACAGACTACCTCCCGCCTCCACAAACAGATATAGCTCCCACCACACAGGAAACACCAAAGGGGCCTCCCTCCAATGACACTGCAGGTTATAGTGAGTGCCATTAACATGTACAAGAGCCCTGTAAAAACTGTAAATTGTAGGGGTGATAAGGAAATATGGTGTATATACTGTTTTATCATATCTTGTATTTATTTACTGTATTGTTATAAGTATCTTATTTTAACTTACTACATAGACTGCAATCAAGTCTTATCAAGCCTTGTTGTTTTGTTTGATAATGTGATGTGGCCTAAGGGATAATCAATAAAATTACTACTACTACTAGAGCCCCCAAAAATCATACTGCCCGCCACCCAAGTGAAGGCTTTCATATGAGGACAATTCAATTCTAGATTTTATGTGTTTCTTCCATCACAAGCATCTCAATGTTTCTGACTCTTCCCATTGGTGTGAAATTTGCATGACGCCGCCCACTGCCCCTCCCTTATCCCTTTCCTAATATTTTCTATGGCACACAGCAAACAGAGCAATTGATCAGCAACTGAACATACTAGAGAAGTTTGGGGAGAATTCACCAGGATTTTTCTTAGCAATTATAATGACGTCTATGAATTATAGAAGCCATTATAGAAGAATTATAGAGCTGTAGGTACTGGGATGTACAGTTCACCTGCAATCGAAGAGCACTCAGAACTCCACCAACGATGGACCTGGAACTAACTTGGCACACAGATGTCCCATGACCAACAAAACATACTGGAGGTCTTTGGAGGGATTTCTAGGAAATGTAGTTTACCTATATCCAAACTTGGTATGCACACCCAATATGCCCAAAATGGAATACTGGTGGATTTTGAGGGGGACTGGCCTGGATATTTTGGAGTTGTAGGTATTGGGATGTATAGTTCACCTGCAATCAAAGAGCACTCTGAACTCCACCAGAGGGAACTGGACAAAACTTGTTACACAGACCTCTCATGACCACAAAAAAATGGAGGTCTTTGGAGGAAAATTCACCTTGATTTGAGGGAGTTGTAGTTCACCTACATCCAGAAAGAACTGTGAACCCAAACTTTCCAATAGAAAGCTTCGTTTTTTTTAAAAAAAGGATGAGCACTAATCAGATAAAAATATGACATAGTTTGGTTATAATATTTCAGTTTGCTCAAAGCAACATCTGTATATGCTTAACTAGTAAAATGATTATGTTATATCTTTGGGGATAGAAGCATATTTAATTGGGAGATACATCACACGCAACATATGAAGAGATTCAGGCTCAAAACAATGGATCTATCAAAACGGGCATGAATTGTGTTTCTCTCATGTTGTTGAACTGCCACTCTCCAAAAAAATCCTTACCACAGCTATGTTTTTAACTGTCTTACAAGTTCACTGCATATAAAAACAGGAGCCCTTATCTTGAAAAGCCTGGACATTGGTTTCTTAAGACGTTTTGGGCTGCATGCCTTTTACAAAATTAAGAAAACATCCATGCACAAGGTTACCACACACACTGAGAGTCTAGCCAGCGGTGAGTTATCTTGGAGGGCTACGGCATCTTGTGTTTCCGCCAAGATGGCAAAACACGCAAGGGACATGCAAGCACGTCACACGGCCACTGCACAAATGCCGAGCACAGTAAAGAAAAACAGACGGGATGCAGGGATGGGATGCATACATGTCCGCATATGGACCATTTGTGTGTTTTTGCAGTGGGGGTTAAGGGCCCAAATCCGCTCTGAATCAATGGCTCTGTTTCAGCTGGGACTAGTTGGATTGAGGATCATGGAGTGCTATGCTTTCTATGCAGCTTCCAACATCTCTAACCAATATAGTGGAAACTCACTATAACAACGGTAAAAAAGGGAGAAAGGAGTGGACTCTGTTACCCGCCCAGCATGTTGATATACTGACCTTAATTTAAGATGCTGGGGGATATGGGGAAAATCTGTATACTGTATACAGTTGAGTATAAGTCGGATTTTTCAGCCCTTTTTTAAAGGCTGAAAAAGCCCCCTTCGGCTTATGCTCAAGTTAAGGTTATTTACTATTTTACCTCATTTTATTATATTTATTATTTTATTTTTTATTACATTTATTATTCTAAGGTAAGGTAAAGGTTTTCCTCTGACAAGTCCAGCCGTGTCCGACTCTGGGGTGTAGTGCTCATCTACATTTCTTAGTCAAAGAGCCGGCATTGTCCGTAGACACCTCCAAGGTCATGTGGCCGGCATGACTGCATGGAGCACCCTTACCTTCCCGACGAAGCGGTACCTATTGATCTACTCACATTTGCATGTTTTTGAACTGATAGGTTGGCGGAAGCTGGGGCTGACAGAGGAAGCTCACGCTGCTCCCCGGATTCAAACTTGCGACCTTTTAGTCAACAAGGTCAGCGGTTTATCCCACTGCGCCACCGGGGGCTTTTTTATTTCACTCTATTTATTATTATTCCATTTATTATTTTACTCTATTATTACTGGAAGGATATGTAAGAACATTTATATTGAGGAAGGTTAGAGTAATGGTTTAATCAGAGCTGGACAGTCTTATCTTAAAGTAGTTTTACGTAAGTATTCAAAAACATGTAACCTACTGATGCTTCAATTCATGTCATTTTATTGCTATCTATTTTTATTTTGAAATCTACCAGTAGCTGCTGCATTTTCCACCCTTGGCTTATACTTGAGTCAATATATTTTCCCAGTTTTTTTTGTGGCAAAATTAGGTGCCTCGGCTTATAATCTGGTCGTCTTATATGGTATATATGATATGTATTGTCGAAGGCTTTCATGGCCGGAATCACTGGGTTGTTGTAGGTTTTTTCAGGCTATATGGCCTGCATCTATGGCAAGCATCCTCAGAGGTAGTGAGTGACCTCTACCTCTGAGGATGCTTGCCATAGATGCAGACGAAATGTCAGGAGAGAATGCCTCTAGAACATGGCCATATAGCACGAAAAAACCTACAACAACCCATATATGGTATGCTTTACAAAAAAATAAAAACCTAAGCTCAGGGGCTTCTCAATCTACTCCTCCTTTTGCAACCCCCTTCGTAGCCCAGGAAGCCCAAATGGCAATAGGGAGAACTGAGTAAAACCCTTTCTCTTAGTAGTAAAATCAGCAAGCTGATCTGTGAGTTTAAAGTACCTGCAGCTTGAGGGATGGCGAAAGCAGGGGGGAAGCCAGCCCCGGTGTAAGGTGAGGCCGAAATGATCCCTGGTGCACCTGAAAAAAGAGAGCAACACAGGTTAAGGGGAGTGGCATAGGAAACAAAACAAGGGAAACGAAGTCCAAGCGTCCCTTTGGCTACAAGAGGGAACTCACAGGACAGGTAGGTTAGCAACAGACTTCTGCCTGCCATTTATATCTGTTTTCCAAAGGCATACTGTCACCAAAACTGAGCATCCTTATAGATAGGTCAATTTTGACTGAGAATGGTTGCCTTACACTCAACATGAGCAGCAAACCTCATGCTAACAGGAAGTTTTGCAAGATCTACTGTATCTAATGCTCTCTTTTTTGGCTACATCATCTTACCAAAATTAGGGTCCAGATTAGATTCATGTAATACGGTAATTGTAGTGCTGAACCAAAGCAATAGAGGAAGTTGCTTAAGGAGCCCCTGGAGATCCCATTTCAGGGATGTCATCTGTAATTTAATTGTCATAGATCAATGCTATGTAATCCTGGGATTTGTAGTTTGGTGAGGCACCTGCACTCTTTGGCGGAGCAGGCTTCGAGGCCCGGTCAAACTACAGCTTCCATGACTCCTTAGCACTAAACTAAGCAAATTAACGTGGATTCATTCTGCAGCATAGAATGAATGAAGGAGGAAGTATGTGATCAAGGGCTCTTCGTCAGAGCCCGTGGCCAGAATTGTACACAACCTCCAGGACGCCGAAGTTGGGAAAAATGCCGACATAATATCTCTATTTGTTGTCTGTCCTGTCTTTTTAATGGCATTGAATGTTTGCTATGCATGCGTTCTGTGATTTGCCCAAAGAGTCTTCTTTGGGGTGAGAAGGGCAGAATATAAATGCAGTAAATAAATAAATAGATGCACCTAATCTATTCATGGCTGTATTCCAAAATGCACCTTTTGCTGCCACTCATTACATTCGACAGCGAATATTTTTTTGGTTTCAGGGTTTTGCAAACGGAGGTACACAATAGATCTGATGGCACATTAGGCTGAAGTAAACATGGGTCGTTTGTGGATGGAGTGGTTAGTGCTCCCCTCACCAAAGGCAGCGGCCATGGTCTGATCAAGGGAAGGCTGGTTGTCCCCTGAAGGCAGGTCCGGACGAGTATAGTCCCGGCTCTTGTCATTGTTGTACTTGACGTTAAGGCTGGTGAGCTTGGAGAAGTCGATGCGGAGGGTGCAGCAGGCGTTGTAGATGTTCTGCCCATCCAGAGACTGCAAGGAGAGAGCAGCAGAGCTCACTTTTGGAAAAGGATAGGGTTCACTTCCAGGCACAATGTGCAAAGTGTGGAGCTTCACCTAGAGCACTCCCAACAGTTGAGGTTCTGAAAGCCTGTCTCTTCCAATACTAAACTTACTGCTTATTTTGTTTTCTTTCAGCAAACTTTTAATGTATAATCAGGGGTGATGTTTTATTAAAATTTTACATTTTTGAAACTTTTGTATGGTTCCAATTAACTCTGTAAATATATCATGTTGCGGTTTTGTGTGTTTAAAGACTGTGTAGGAATGTATTGTTTTCAGGAGCTCTCTTGAGTCCCACTGTGGGAGAAGGGGGCATTGCTGGAAATAGCAACCTTCTACAAGCCTCTTATACTAGTTATTTGATATGTAAATAGTTCAGATTGCATTTTTTCATGTCTCCCAGATGAAACCTGCGACATCTAATTCTGAATCTGAGTTTTACAGTCCCGCTGTTGGACTCACCAGCTTGGCATGCTGGGCGCTCATGGGGTCGGCATACTGCAGGAGGGCTTGGAACTGATTGTTCTTGGTGAAAGTGATGATCTTCAGCACAGTGCCAAACTTGGAGAAAATCTGCGCAAAATGGGGGGAGGAGAGAGAGAATAGTAAAGTTATATATGGGGAGGGAGGGATAGCAAACGCAGTGAGCGAAGGAAGGTGCACCACAGGGGAACCTGGGACCCTCTCCTCACCTGATGGAGGACATCCAAAGTCACAGGGTAGAAGAGGTTTTCCACAATGATCCTCAGGACGGGGCTCTGGCCGGCCATAGCCATGCCAGCGTCCACGGCCGCAGCGGAAGCAGACAGAGCCAGGTTCCCGGACTGGACTGAATTCACCGCTTGGAGGGCGGCCTGAGCCCGCTGTGGACACAAAACACGGCAGCATGTGAGCAAGCCAGAGGTAAAAAAGCTAAAGGTTTTCCCCCGACATTAAGTCCAGTCGTGTCGGGCTCTGGTGTTCATCTCCATTTCTAAGCCGAAGAGCTGCCGTTATCCATAGACCCCTCCAAGGTCATGTGGCCAGCATGACTGCATGGAGCTCCATTACCTTCCCACCGAAGCGGTACCTATTGATCTACTCACATTTGCATGTTTTCGAACTGCTAGGTTGGCAGAAGCTGGGGCTAATAGCGGGAGCTCACCCTGCTCCCTGGATTTGAACCTGCAACCTTTCGATCAGCAAGCTCAGCAGTTTAACCCACTGTACCACTGGGGGCTACTTAAGCCAGAAGCAGAGGCTTTCCCAAGTTTAGCTTGGGGCCTTATTTTCATCTCTGTGTGGAGTGGCAAGATGTTTTAAGGGCGAGTAGATGTTTTGGGGCACTGAAGAGAACACTTCTGAAACTCTGCTGTTTTTTTGTGCACCGATATATCTTTGCCCCTAACAGTTGAAAGAAACATCTAGGGATTTCAGTGTAACACTTAAGAAACCTAATGACCTTGCATGAATACTAGTGGATATTTACCACTAAGGAGAAAGTTGACTCAAGCGAGTTTTTAACTCTTCACAGGAAGATCGCACTTTACTATCTCTAACAAGGTCATGCCTTTCCAAAAGATTCCTGGTTTTCCCAAAAGGTTCTGAATAACCATTTTCCAAAAGGTTACGGAGATTTCAATTTCCCAAAACTCCATCACTTCTACCCTCCCCTTTCCTTTTTTTTTACCAGACTGTATTATAAACTAAAAAAAAAAAAAAAAAACCATGATTTTGGCTCCCAGATCAACCTCCCACAAACCATTACATTCTAACTCACCGCCTGGTTCGGAGAGTTGTCAGTCTTGAGCTCCTTGTGGTTGGAGAACTGGATGTAGATGGCTTGGCTCCGGAGGACGGGCGTGATGGTGGTGTAGTAGTTCACCATGGTGTTTGCTGCCTCCTCTGTGTTCATTTCTATGAAAGCCTGGAGAGGCAGAGGGCAAACGCAGGTGATGCACAAGCCACAAGCATTCTTGGCCCAAATGCTCTGGCCGAATTCAGGAAGGAGCTGCTTCTGCACCCCTTTAACTAACAGCGACAAAATGAGGTATAGGCCATGAGAAGTATAAATACGGATGTGGGAAACGTAAGACAGCATGGCAAAACAAAGTCAACAGACTCGTGTTCATGGCGGCGGAGCCATTGGAAATCAAGTAGCTGGAGACCCCATCTTGGGACTTGTGTGTCTCAAACACTAAGGGTTTATAGGAGGAAACTGGTGCCGTTTTTGGAATCAGCAGGTCAAATACACCCAGAAACAGAGCTAACATTTGAGGCACCAAAATGTGTGTTGACCAGTGGTAATAAAACAACTAGTCAGGTTTATGCCATTCTCCTCTTACTCCAAAATATTTTTTCACAGAAACAAACATAAATACTTTTTACCCCTTTTTTCATACTAACCATACATTTCCTTTCAAAAGTTATGGAGAAAACGCAGCAACTGGAATGCGGAAAATGGCTTTCTAAATTCTTAAGGTGCTTTAAGCCAAAATGTCCGACTTGAGGCTATAGCTCAGGCATCCTCAGACTGCGACCCTCCTGCTGTTTGGGCCAACAACTCCCAGAAGCTCCTATTGCCAGCTTGTTCAATCGTCAGGAATTCTGAGAGTTGGAAGCCCAAAGTCTGGGATGTCAGCTATAGTTGGCAAGGTTGTGCAAAGCTTCGGAGGTCCGTTTCATAATTCGGAGATTTGTATGATTAATTAATACAAATCTCCGAACGACTAAGCATTACGAAACAAAACGGAAGCCTCTGAAATGTTGTGGAGAAATTAGTAAAGAGTTGTTTCGTTTTTGATTGTTTCAAGCTGTGTTTTTTTCAATGTGACATACTGTGGAAATGTCTGGGGTGGGAGGGGGCTGATGTGAATGAAAACGGCAGATGCATGCTGGTTCTTTCCCTTGTCAGCCAATCACAGCTTTCTGCAAAGCTGGTCACCTCCCTTCACCTCTTTGTGGAATTAGTAGAATAAAAACTTTAATTGAAAAAAACTTTTTAAAATTCCTAAAAATATCAGTAGTTGAACAAATCTTTCTGAAACACAGCAGGATTGATGCCCTTTTTTTGTTGTCTCATTGTGCATAAAATCAAGGGAATACCTCTTGTAGCTTTTTAAAAAAATGTTTGTAAAAACTTTTTAAATTCCTAAAATTCAGTGGTGTAAAAATGACGGAAACAAACCTCGCATTTTTTTCCATTGCCTCTAATGGAACAAATATTAATAAAACAATTACAAAGTCAGCTCACGAAACAAAACCCCTTCAAAATCTTTAACAAATGAAGCGGAGACCACTCAAATCTTCAAAACAAAATCATATTTCAGCTGCTTCTCACACCTCTAATAGATGAAGTTCTCCATCACTATCCATTAAATACCTGGTTCTTCCCTTTCAGCATCAGGAGGTTGGTGACTTTGCCGAAGGGAAGCCCCAAGGAAATCACTTCCGCCTCCGTGACGTCACCAGGCAACTTGCGGATGTGGATCACACGGGATGGGACGCCGGCACTCCGGGTGTCACCCTTGAACTTCTTGCTGTCATTCCCATTGGCTGCAAAAGAGCGTAGAAGTGACCCTTCCGATGGGAGTCCTACCAGGCAGGACTTTAGAGCCTTTGCTTTTGAGTGTGATGTTGCCCTTCGATAAAGGCCCTTTCAACCTGCAGCTCTCCAGGTGTTTTGGACTTTAGTTCCCAGAATTCCTGGCCATTGGACAAGTTGGCTAGGGGCTTCTGGGAGTTGGAGACCCAAACACCTGGAAGGCTGTAGATTGGGCAGGCCTGAATTATGGTAGATTCTCTCCACTTTTACACCCTAATCTCACATTTCATCCCTGTAACTAATTTGAATATGTCCGATTTAGAAACACATTGCCCAGGACAATAATGTGACAGAACTTGGTTGCATAAAATACAAAAATACAACTAAAGGACACTAGGATTCTCCTGTCTTCTCAATGAGACGGGAGAGATTGTTGAGCACATTCCAGAGAATCATGACACGAAGGACCACCATTTCAGTTGTCTGCAGCCCAAACTCTGAAGGGTTCTCCACAGAAGAGATCATTTCAATATATCTGTCCTGCCTTACATTGGGTGTGCTCTTGGCGGCATACAATTGAATAGTTTCTATTAAAACATGTCCAGTGAAAAGCAGGATAATGTCAAGGGGATTAAAAAAATAAATCGACAGACGAAGGCAGTAGAGAAAGTTAAAGCAGTTGTCAAAACGTAGCCGGATTAGGTCCCAAAGGTCTCAATGACAAGCCAGGTTTTAACTTGGCACATATAAGGGACGAAAGTTGGTGCCAGCTACTAACTTGGGCAGTGGATTTCCACAAACAGGAGATGGGACAAGGCTTGAGTTAATGCTAACTGAAGGCCCAACTATAGCAGTGTGAAGAAATCCAGGAAATCCCGCCCCCCCTTCCGCCAGATCCCAAGAATTAAGGACAGGTTGGAGAGAGAGCTGCAACCATCTGAAGGCCATGAAAAGTGCAAAGCTGAACGGCGCCGAAGGAAATATGGCTCTGTGGGCAACCAGGTGCTGCATTCTTTGGGCCGGCAAAAGTTACCTGCAGAAGGAGAGTTGCTGCTCATGATAAAGGGTCCGTTAGTGACACAAGTAGAGAAAAGTTCGTCAGATCCCCGCTGGAAGAGAAACAAGAAAAAAAGGGAAGGAAAGGTAAGTTGACAGCACCGTGCTACATTCTACTCAGGCATCGCAGAAACAGAACTGAAGCAGTGGGAAAATGGAGCCGAAGGGGCAAAGGGGAGATGAAGAAGGGAAGGGGCCTCCCAAATCCAGCTCTTGGGTCTGCCCACATGGCCCATTCAGAACCACATAAACCAAAAGGCAGATCTACTCCATCCAAAATTGACAGGAAAGCCCGATTTCCCTCAAGAGGAGACTTGTGAAACTCAATGCTTTGTGAAGAACATGCCATCAGCACTCTCGGAGTGGCATCACTCAAGGTGTTCCCTTGAAACTCAGGGCTGCCATGCAAAGGAGGTTTGACTGACCAAATAGGAAAGGCATGGCATTTCCATAGTCACGCTGCCATATTTAGTTTGTCCTTAGGGGAGATGGCAGAGATGCCAATCGTCTACAGACATCCTCTTTGTGAGATGTATTGCTGCACACCTGAGAGCACAGACTGCCTTGCAAGAGCATCAGTGGGACTAAATTATCCTCAAATGCATACAAGACAGCTGGCTTGGATCTTGCTTCTGCCTGAGGCTGAAATGCATCTACATGGCAATTTAACCATGGATGTGGCTCAAGGTTCTCTCATGTTTTAAAACAACCATTTTAAAATCTGTTTCTTTACATCAACTCATCCGGGCGTCCCCTGGGCAACGTCCTTGCAGACAGCCAATTCTCTCACACCAGAAGCAACCTGCAGTTTCTCAGGTCGCTCCTGACATGACAAAAAAAAGGGGGGGGGGTGGTGTCCTGTGCCCTTAATTCCAGCAAATGTGGAGCGCTAACTGGAATGCTTTGAGGATCCTTTCTCAGGCCTGGCCCAGCAACACGGCGGTTGAGTCCAAATCGGCATTTGCATCAGCCAAATCCACCTTGAAAGTACGTTCTGTTCAGAGTATGTTACTAGGGATGTGTAAAAAATTTGGAAGTGTTGGAAATCAGAAGTTTTGTAAGTTGGAAGCCATATCCATAGCGTTTGCATGGCCCACACCAAATTATTTTAGAATCAAAATTTACCCCATACTTTTTTGTTTTAGTTTTGTAAATCTCAGAAGGCTTCCAGTTTCATATTCAGTGCAAGGAAGCAAAGCCATTCAGCCAAAAAGGCTGCCTGCTTGGAATTAATGGAGTCTTGGCATTAGGAGACATGAAAAGAGGAAGAAGTGCATTTTGGGAACAGCACAGAACTCTGGGAAATGTAATTTGGGAAGAGGAGGAGCCCTATGGCAAAGAATTCAAAAGGTTCTGCCCTAAACTACATTTTCCAGTATGCGTCAGCATCAGAAAGCCCCAATTAGGAGAGGAGATCAATCTGTAGTCAGACGGAATTCAATACATTTGTTAATATTCTACACTATGATTTCTGTTCCTGGGTTATAAATGCAATTTCCTATTGGTTCCGTCAAACACAGCAAAAGTTTATTACACTGCAAAAACTGTCTTTACGCAAGAGACATCATCCTACAGCACATTTTGCTTTGTTGAGTCTCCACCAATTTAATGAAGTTTCTGCCACAAAAACAAAGTTTCTGAAGTAAAACAACTACTTTCAAAGTAAAGACTGCACAATTAAAAAGGAAATAACAATTTCAAAGTAGGAACAGATTTTCTTTATTAGTAAAAAAACCTTGTTTACAAAAACGTTGAAAATTTGCCAAAAATCCATGGATAAGTGAAATGTCCTGAAATTTGGTGGGCTCACAGTAAGTTTTACCCAAATAGCATTAAGATGAGGGAGATAGGAGCCCCTAAAGTTTCCCTAATTATAGTAACTTAATTATGTGCAATGACTGTAATGAAATAGTAATGAAATTTTGTTACTCTCGTTATGGTAACAATTTTTCACTAGCTATACTTTAGAAACACTTAGAAATGGAAGCGCCAGCGCCCCTGTTTTGTAAGTACTTTTGAACTATTTTTAATGGATCGCACATCCCTATATGTTATAATATGACTTCTGTTAGGAAAGGAAGACAGGCTTTATCAATGCAGAAGGAAATGGGCTCCTTTTCTGGACGCCTCTTTCCAGGTTTCTCCAAAGAGGGCTCACTACATAACTCGAGTTGGCTGTTTGTGGTGAGAAAGCAACAGTTCAAGCTCCACTGCAATGAGTTACCAGCTTATAGTCACTTACTTACCTGTTCTAAAAACTGACAATAGTACATTTGAGTCTTTGGAGCATATGCTTTGTGAGCACAAAGCCACCTATGCTTTCTATAAATGCTATCAGTATGTGGCCTGAAGACAGAAGTCATGTACAACACTGTCCAAAACTTGCTGAAATCTAAAACAAACACATGGATTGTTCAATATAGGGTGGCCCAACCTTCCTTTTTCCCCTTACAAATCTCAACAGACACCAAAGGACCTTCTTAGGAACTGTCACAGCAGAGGAAAAGCATATTATTGAAAACCAAACGGCCATGAGAACATATAGGGAGCTCTCCTTCCACCCTTTTAGAAAAGAAGGACTCATTTCTCTCGATACCTCATACACACTATCAAAAGCAGCTCTTCATAGGATATGAACCTGGCAGCATTCAAGGCCATGAATAATGCATCTAAAGCCTGCATTTGCCCACAAAACCTTTTGTTCTGGGCTTTGCAATGGCAATAATGTGCTTCTAGATCTGGTACTTGGTGTTAGAACAATTAAACGCAATTTGCTCCTCCTAGATACACCCAAGACAAACATATACAAGAAATGCAGGACAGCCGCGTCTTAGGGGAAGCACAGTGATGCATTTGAGGGTGGAGCGAACGCCAGGCTTGAAACTTCTAAGGAAATTGCAGGTAACAACATGAGGACATCACAACTAGCCCTGCTCAATGACTGTATTGGCACAGGGCCCTCTCAACCCCTTTTCACAGAAATCCTGACTTCTTTGCAGCTGTGGCTGGATTAACACTGTCAAAAATGCAATTGCAATCAAGCTTTATTACAGCTCAAAAAATCAATTTGCTCTGGTTTCTCTTCATATCATAAAATATTTTGCCTTTTACTAAAAATGCACATTTATAGAGCTCTACACTGCCTGTATAAAAAAGCTCAATCACTCTTCTGCCACAGGATGAAGAATTCAACCCAATGCTTTCCCAGCCCTTGAAAGGACGAATGGGTTTTAGAAGCCAGGAGGAGTACAGACCCAGCCATATAATTATCTTGTCCCATTTCCATGTTTTAGGTGTCAAACTCATTTCCATCAAGGGTAAAATCAGTCTTTTGGTTGCCTTCAAAGGGCCGTTGAATCCATGGATGGAGAATCCATTGACAGAGGGTCAACTATCACTTTTTATATAGGTGCTCTTATGTTTTTATCCCCAGGTGTTAATAAATGACAACTCCCAGCCATTCTGATTACCTGCCCTGCAAACTGGGGATAATGGGAATTGCAACCTAACAGCCCTTGTGGCCCTGAGGTCAAAGAACACTTGAAAGCCAGGCATTGTCTCCCCAAGCCTTGCATCTTGATCCTGATTCAACAGAACAAACCACAACCATTCATATCTCCATGTATCACAACATCCATTAGTTCCAGTCATAAAGTCAAATGGGGAGGGATGCAGGAGATGTAGTGTACCATAAAGAGACCTTGAGCTTGAAATATGTGATTTAGCCTGTTCTCTAGCGATGCCACAAATCCGTCCAAGTCAGATATTTGTGACAAAGCAATCCTACCTTCACTTCCTTTGGAGGGGGAGGCCTTTCCTGCTCAGCAAAGAAAATAGCTGCAACGGTTAGGGCCAATGGACAACCAATGCAGAAGTAAAGCCAACTCTGGTGGACAGGAATTACTCCAGACATTTGCAGAGCAAGTAAAAGAGGTGGCATTTGACTCCAGAGCAGGAAAACCCCAAAGTGAAGCCATAAAATGGGTCTGCTCTTTGGAAAGGATTCCAGGGTGTGGCGGAAACACTTACTATCTCAAGAGTTCAGAGGAAAGTGAAGCTATGCAGCCATTTGGAACAAGGACACACCTCGGGCAACTGCCAGGAGCTGCAATAAAACCTCTGCCCGATCCCCACCCTAAAAGCTTGAGAAAAGCCTTGGTTGGAAGCAGGGAAATTCATACGCTGCAGGGAAGTCTCAGGCCCAGTTGGGGAAAATGAAAACTAACCAACAAAAGCCTTTCAGAAAGTGTGCCGAGGCTACTGTTGTCCAGTATCTTTGTGGCCAATGCATCTTCAGCTGAACTGGCGAGATGCTGACGTTGTTTCTTTCTCCAACTTAACCGAAGAGGCATTGGCTACAAAAGGCATTTGAACACAATGGCACACTTTCTTAAAGGCTTTCTGGACTGATCTGATCCAATTTGCATGGGGTTTAGTGCATGCATTGGAGAAGAGGGTTCAAATCCTCACTCAGCCCTAGAAGCTCACTCTTTCAGCCTCAGAGGAAATCAAAGCCTTTGAATAAATCTTGCTAAGCAAACTCCCATGATCTTAGCATCCCCATAAATTGGAAATTACCCGAGGATACTGAAAACTATTTAAGCATTACATATTACGTCATGATTGCCAGAAATATTAAATATTAACTAGGTATTTTCGATTACAAAAATGTGAATCAAACACTGAGTTAGTAGGCTGAAGCAGAGTCCGTGGGCCAAAGCTAGCGTCCTGAGGAGTGTGAGAAAAACCTCTGTGTGAGAGAAGCATCGTGTGAGAAAGCTCCAGTGTGAAGGCTGCTGTGTGTAAAGCTACTGTGTACTCGTTTATTTGTGTTATGGAAACCTTGTTATAGTCAATAGCAGGGGTCCTCAAACTTTTTAAACAGAGGGCCAGGTCACAGTCCCTCAAACTGAGGGCCGGATTATAATTTGGAAAAAAATGAATGAATTCCTATGCACACTGCACATATCTTATTTGTAGTGCAAAAAACACTTAAAAACAATACAATAATTAAAATGAAGAACAATTTTAACAAATATAAACTTATTAGTAT